ACAGAGGGCATAGATAACCAAGGCAAGAGTAGTAAAACCCAAGACTACTGAAGGATTGTTGCATAAATATATGCTAATTGACATCACCAAAGTCTCTAGGCCTCTAGGGAAATTGCCACAACAACTGCATCATTAAGAAGCCTAGACCAGACTATTCACTACATGCTATAAGCATCAACATAGCTGCCTCCTATGATCGATCCAGGTACACATTATGAGAGGATTAACCCACCAAAGAAGAAACACTCTCCCACCCATGTCCTAGGGGAAGCTGACACCCAATGCAATATATACCAAAAAACGCCAAGCAACCAAACTTCGAAATGAAGCTAGCCACTAAAACAGCATAATAGCCTACACATATTTTCCGATTTTTCCGTAGGAAGACAAGAAAAACAAACTAAGATATTTAAGGACCAAAATAATACCTCTGTTAAGCCCTGAAGGAGCCAAGAGGGAGCCAACCCCTTGTTCCCAAGGAATTCCCAGTGTCATGGTGGTGCCCGTGTGGCTAACAGGGGGCACAGGGGAATGCCACCAACCCTGTGACACAGTGATTTTTGTTACCAAAGGTAAACACATCTCCATTGATAACTGGTACATCTAAAAGAGCACCCTCATCTATCAGCGCAACAGCCTTACTTGTCTTCTTCCTAACATTCCTTTGCACTACTTTACCTTTCCTAAGAATCTGATTAATGAGGGATTTCTTGATGAGGTTTGTCAGAGGGAGAATCTGATTTTCTCTAAGGAGATTGCTAGGCTTCAATTTCTTCACAATTGAGTGTAGAGGGCTTCCATGTCTAGCTCTCTCAATCCCAATTTTATTGAAGTCATTAGACAGAGGCACCTCACTTGGGGTAGAGCTAGGTGGAATTTTGTACAGCTTGTTGCGGTGGTCAGACTTCATTTCTTCACCAGGCAATTCAACATAGTATGCAGCATCATTTTTCCCCTACAACTAAACAGGATATCGTAGGCACCAGAGCTTTGGTCTCCAAACACGTTTGATCAGGCATCTGACTTTGTCTCCAAAGCTTTAGGAACTTCATCATTGACAAAAAATAACATATTCCTATAGGACTTTTAGTCTTGTAATTTTTATTTATAAGTTAATTATTTGAATAAATAGGGTAATTATTAAGAAATAATATGCCTTTTAATTAAGACAATGAACTCACAATAGTTAGTTTGGTTAAATTCTTAATAGTACAAAACATATAATTTGTAAAATATATTATTTTTATTTTTTATTAAAATATCAAAATTACAACAATTACTATTTTAATAAAATGAAAATGCAATCTATTGTGCAAGATGGATTATTATGTATAATAAAGGTATTTAAGTCTTAAAACTTTATGTAGCGAGTCAACCATTTCTATTTTAGAGTCAATAGTGAACTAAGAGTTTTGAATTATGGCTCATAAAATCATCTTAAAATTGTTATTCCTTAAACATTCTTTTCTTTATTTATTTTATAGTTCTGTTGTGTCTCAATTACAAAATCAATAAAAGTATAATTACTAAACTCATCAAAAAAATATTAATAAAAAAATATAA